TCCGTCTGCAGATCGTTCTCCAGCCTCACCTCCGATCCCCATTTCATCCGCCTCCACTCCGAAGTCTCGTCGAGAAACCCCAACCTGCTCATCGAGCTCCTCGACCCCGCCGGACCCACGTCCAGTTCGATCCTAGTCGACGCTTCCTTCGGCGTCTCCAGGTTCTCGCTGGGTTTTCTCGACGACCGCGTCAAAATCAGGGCGTCGAGCAACGGGATTCTGTGCTGCGCCAGCGTCAGGAGCAAAGGGGTCTACTACGTTTGCAATCCGATGACCAGAGAGTCCAGGTTGTTGCCGAGGACGAGGGAGAGGCCGTACACTCGGTTCCAACCCGAGTACGAGGCGACCGTGGTCGCGTTGGCCTCCGATCCTTCGACCCACGGGTTCGTTGTTTTCCTCGCTGGGTACTATCGCCCGTTCGGCCACCGCCCCCACGACGATCTCGTGTGCTTGACGTTCGACTCGGCGACCAACTCGTGGAGCAGGTTTGTTTCTTACATTTGCGAGGATTTCACCTGGATTAACCGGAATCAGGCTGTGCTCTTCAATGGCGCGTTGCATTGGGTAACGAAGAGTTGCTCTTATGTGCTTGCTCTTGATTTGGGAGATTGCGTTTGGAGGAAGATATCGATGCCGGGGGAGATTGTTGCTGGTGGGTTTAAGGGGAGGATTTATCTGTCGGAGCTGGGGGGTTTTGTGTCCGTGGTTCAGTTTTCGGGAGATTGGATGAGCACTTGGGTTTTGAAGGAGTATTCGAGAGAGGAATGGGCTCTTGAGGACAGAGTGCATTTGAGGTGTATTAGAGGGGTTTCTACGAGCGCTTTTCCGCTGAGTCAGTCGAAAGATGTCGTGTTCTTGGCGACGCAGAAGAAGGTTTTGACGTACTGCCGGAAGAGTAAGGTTTGGAGGGAGATATATGCTGTCGAAGATAATTATACGTTCCCGTTGTGGTTTTCTACGTACTCTTTCAGGAGTACTCTCTTTCCTTGCCATTGTTAAGGTTAGCTTTTCCTCCCTCTTAGTAAAGACGGCTTTTTTCGATATTCATATGTGGAGTATGTGTTTATTCTATGCTATGTTGATGTTAGTATGTGTTTATTTCTTGGTGCCTTGAGTATGTTTAATAAATTTCCACTTTCGAAATCTTTCGTATAGGTAGGTAAGAGTTTGTTTGCTATTCCAATGATGTATCTGTCCATCCTTCCATCTTTCGTCCGAAAACATCTTATCTCATACATATATAAATTAAAGGATA